TATTTAAAGTCTTTCCGTCAATAGAAAAATGTACGGCATAAATAACACAAGATAATTTTATTTTTAACATACAAGAAAGCTGTTGCATCTACAAATATAAGTTTAGTTATACTAGACTCATAACTTTCTATTTGATTAACTATACTCTTAGTTATACTTTTAAAAAAGTCAAGACTATAAAAAATCTAATTTATTTTAGAATTATATTTTTTCTACCATAATAAATCTAAAATAACTATATTATAAGGAGATATAATAATATTAAATATTTTAAAGCTATTATAACTATTAATTGTTGCTTCTATAGGAAGAATTTTATGAATAATATCTCTTAAAGATAATAGATGATCATTTATGACTTCTATGTGAACAAGTTTAGTTTTTTTGATTAAAAGTATGCTATGTCTTTTAGCAAATCTTTCATCTAAGAAATATGTTGAGACTCTTGAATCTAACAATACAAAGGCTTTGTGATGTTTAAGTTTTAAAATAACATATATTGTAAAACAAAGAAAGAGTTTTGAAGAGAAAATATAACCTTTAATAGATATTATACAAGGTTCTAGTTGTACAATCTTTATTATAAAAAAATAAATTTATTTTTTGATATACTATCTTTTTTGATAGCCATGCTCTTTATTTTGTAGTTGTGTCACTTTTTTGGATAATTTTAAGGATTACGCTTAGATTTTCAACAATATCAGTACAATCATTCCTAATAATGATGAATCTTTTCTTGCTTGGACCAAGATTTGAAACATACTACATCAATTTGTATAGCCTCTACTTTCAAATATATGTATTGAAGACATATTGGTATTGCCATTGAATTATAGTAATGTTGAGGCACACTTATCCAATTCTCAAATCAAAATTCAAAAAATCATTTTTCATACTTTACAGCAGAGTCAATTTCTTAATTGAATGTTTGAGGATCAAATAAGTTGAACATCAATTTCTTCATCTCATATTATAATCTATGGAAAAATTGGCTAATAAGTGTAGCAGCATCTCACTTGATATCAATTATAAGTTGTCAAAATTATAAAGTATATAATGTTATTGATTGATTGCTTTGTTGCAAAATATAGATTTTATTGTTTGTAATATAAATTTCATCATGTTTTCCATATATGGATCAAAACTCAGCTAAAAAATCCTCCAAATTATCCAATATTAAATCTTTTCATTTAAAAAAAGATGAAAATCACAATAATGCTAACTGTAAAAGAAGTGTATCAATAAATCTAACTTGTGATCTTGGAGTTGGATAGCTTTGGGATTGAAGTTCAATCACAAGTTCTACTTGATTGATAAATCCTTGAAACTTGGATCTTGTACCATCAAACTTCTTCGGCAGTAAAACCTTTACTTCTCTAATACTAGAAGGATATTCCACCATAAGAAAAAGGACATAATTTGGTGTAAATATTGAAACAATTCCAATCATCTCTATATCTTTACTCCCTGCCATTCGTATTGCTCTTTGTAATAATAAATTAAGTTAATGCATTGCAAGCATTAACTCATTTAATTATTCTTACATTTGTGCCATTGCATTCTTTATTTCAAAAAATTCTACCATGATAACACTTAAAGAAGAAAAGATGTTTAATATTGCTCAAGAAAAATAGAAGAGATGACTTGAAAACAAAGAAAATATTACAAAAAATATCAATTTAGAAGAGAGTAATCCGCAACTTCTAATATACTTATGTCTTATCAAAAAAATAAAAATAAAAATAAAATAAAAATAAAAATAAATCCACTCTTAATCAAGAAAAGATAAAATTCTAATATTATAAGTATACTCTTGTCAATCTGTCAAGGAAAAGAACTTGATGAAAGCAAATAACCAAATGAGACTTTTTTTCAAAGAAATATGACAAAATAGAAATAATATATATATATATATATATATATATATATATATATATATTAAAAGAAACTAGAATCACTATTTCTAAAAGATAAGAAAACTAAAGACTCTTGAATTTAAACTAGAATAAGAAAAGAGTTGATAAGAGTGAAGAAAGCTTCACTCTTGCCTCTATTTATATTATCAACTTAGGAGCTAGGTGGTGACGTTCTATAGAACCTCCAACATATGTTGACTTTGTAAGTCACATATTTTAACTTGCAAGGCAAGTTTTCTATGTATGCACTACATAGTTACCTTGTTCTACAAATTAACTTTTTGACTATGTTTTTAACCTAAAAATTAACTATAAATAAATATAAAATCAAAACCATGACTATAAAGCTTCTAAGAAGTTTTTTTAGAAGATGTTATGAAATTGATCTATTTTTATCTACTTTTATTTACTTCTATGTAATCATATAGATAATTATTAGAGTAAAAATATATGTCCATGATAGCATATCTATGACACCTTTTCTTAATCACTTTTTCTAAATGTAGTCATACACACTTCAAAGAATGAATTCAAATCATAGAATAGTTGTGAATCTTTTTCCATCAAAGTTACAAACTAAGAAAGAACACTCCTAGAGAAAAGTGCTTCAATAAATCTAACTTGAGTAAATCCATCAAAGTATTGAGAAGGATGTCCACAACCTCTAAAACATAACAATAGAAGTGGAATAATTTACTCACTTATAAAATAAGACAAGAATAATGAATTAGTATTCTTGTCAAACTATTAAAGATATGAATTTCAAAGAAAAAACATGCAATACACTCTTGTGACACTCAAAAGATTAAAAAGTCACTCGAAGATGTTAATATATTAAACTAGAATGGCTACTTCCAAAGATAAGAAGACTAAAAAGACTTGAAACAAGAACGAAGACTAAAAAAGCATTGACAAGTTGAAGAAGGCTTCACTCTTGCTTCTATATATATTATCTAACTAAAAGCTACATGGCAATGTTTAATAAGACCTCTAATATGTGTTGACTTTATAAAACATATGTCTTAACTTGCAAGACAAGTTTTCTATAGATGCACCATATAGTTAGTTTGTTCCATAAGTTATCAACATATGTGACACATGGTTAACTTATTGACCAAGTTTCTAACCTATCAATCAACTACAAACATATCCAAAATCAAAGTCATATCTGTAAAGCTTCTAAGAAGCTCTCCTGAAAGATATTATAAAATTAATCTATTTTTACTTACTTCTATCTAATCATATAGATATTTATTAAAATTAATATGTATGTCCATGATAATAGATAGCTTTTGCAATTACAACATAGATTGTATAGAAGTAACGCAATTTTGAATTGGACTCTCAAATAAAAAATAAGTACTACGCATGAGCTGCAAGTCATATCGTAAATGGTTTGGTGAAATGCAAATTGGTTCTTTTGTATGCACTTGTCACGGCCATAATCATGTAAGCTAATAATTACATATAGAAATAGGTAGAAGTAAGTAAAAGTAGACAAAAGTAAGTTAATTCTATAATATTTAATATAGAAGCTTCCTAGAAACTTCCTAGATGCTGCTTTGACTTCATAGGTGTCTTTAATTGACTTTTTGGATTAGAAACGTGGTCAACAAGTTGGCCATGTGCCACACATGTTGTTAGCTTGAAGATTAAGCTAACTATGTGGCCCACACGTAGAAAAACTTGCCTTGTAAGTCAAGGCATGTGTCCTACAAAGTCAACACATATTGGAGGTCCTATAGAACGTTGCCATGTAGCCCCTAGTTAGATAGTATATATAGAGACAAGAGTGAAGCCTTCTTCACTCTTGTCAACTCCTTTCTTGCTTCTAGTCCAGGTTCAAGAGTCTTTAGTTTCTTGTCTTATGGCAATAGCCATTCCAGTTTCCTTTTAATATACCTACTTGTTTACATTTTGACTTATTATATCGAGATAGCCTTTTTGTGTATATTTTCCCTCATCGAGTCTTTGTCCTTGACAGCACTCCCTTAATCATCAAATGCTACCCTAAATGTTTAAAAATTCAGCTCACAATTACCAAAATTTCCCACACCCCTTACTTTGTAATCAAGGTGGATAACTACAAATGTAGAAATGCTGAGAGCAAGTGATTCTTTATTTCCAACCACAAGTTTTTGGATTTTTGCCATGTTGTCCATACAATTCCAAAGATTACAACCATAGTTTCTAAGCACAATACAAGTAGAAAATAATCAACCTCTTCATTTTTGTACCTGAACCCCACAAAAATGTAAGAGGATAAGAAAGCATGCCACGGTGGCACCCTAATCACAATACCATAAACACCCCCGACTGGGCACAATAGTCACACTGCGCCATATTTTATTTTATTACTAATACACTATCAGTCATGATCCGGGTAGCGATTTCCGGACCATGACTAGGTAAAGAAAAGGGCAACAAAAGGAGCAGAAACATTGTTACCCTAACAAGGGAACACAAAAACGCACATACACACACTCATATTGTCAAAGTGGGCGAGGTCAACAACGTCAACAATGTCAACAACAACAACAGCATAACCCAGCACGGCTCTTCCGGTGCCGTAATGGGCAAAACCAGGGGGGAAAGCGTGGCATCGTCCTTGCTGGAAGCGGCGACAGACAGACAAACAGACTGACAGAAAACAAAAAACAAAAAGAAGAAAAAAGGATGCGCATATCGATTGGGTCGCACGGGAGTGTTCTCTGGCATCCATATCTTCGCATCTGAGAATACTCGTCGATGGACGAATCTAGAGCGGACAAATGACGACTTCAGGTGAGTAGGATGAGGGGGGAAGATGGAGGAAGAAGAAGCAGAGGGGATGATGCGATGATTTGCGAAATGCGACGAGAACAGAACTAATGAAGTACACTTCCGGGGAGCTTCGGAGAAGTGGGTGAAGGCACTCCATGAGCATGGGAGGACATTCATCATCGCATACGGGATTTGACTGGACCCCAGTGACCCACTTGACGTGTAAAGGTTTGCGCCTCGAGTGTGAGTTTGTGTAATTTTTTTGTTTTTGGTTCTTAATATTCCGGACGATATTATGATGGGGTTAGCTTTCTGCATCGGACAGCAGCCTGAATCTGCAGTGGCGCCTTCGAGTTGCAGCGTCTAGTATACGTCGCATTTAGTATTATTGCTCACGGGTTGGCTAGGCGGGTGTGTGTAGCGGGGCTGAGTTCGGGGACACGAAGGTATCGTGGTATCTAGATTCGGCTGGGTTCGTGATGGTTCGAATCGAAGTGGACTGTGACGCTGAGCGGATGAAGAATACCCCGTCATTTTCCCCTTTTTTTCTTCTCTTTTTGTTCTTGGGATGAGGTTGAGTGATCAGTGAAGGATTTGTGAGAGGGAGGTTGGAGATTCAATCTCTTTCCACGCAGTAGGCGAGTGTGTTGCAGACAGCCGCGACTCGTCTGTATTGCTTTTTTGTTTGGTACTTGCACTGGTGGCGAGCTGGGCCAGAATTTTTGAAGATGTTCTGGTTTTCCAGCACGAGGTTGAGGTAGAGGTTGCGAGGGCGTGGTTGGGAGGGTGACGACATGAGATTTTAAGCTCGTTTTTGTGCCTGGCTGTCAAAGAAGAGGAGCTGGTGGCGAGTACTGGTCTGTGGAGGCGTGGATTTTTGGGGTTTGTTGTTGTGGCGATGGCGAGTACGTGCGCGGTGACTGGCAGGTTTTGGTTTGTGAGTGTTGTTTTGGCGATGATATTTTGCTCCTTGATTGTGTCCGGCGCGGATGCCGACAGCTCCCCGTGGTATGTGGACGTGGGCTTGAGGGCCGATGCAGACGCGCTGATTCTGTTCAAGGAAGAGTTGCAGGATCCTAGAGGGGTGTTGAAAAATTGGAACTATCTTCAGAGTCCATGTTCATGGACGGGTGTGGAGTGCGCTCACGTGGGAGGTAGTTTTGGAACTCGAGTGGTAGGGTTGGAACTCGAGGGGGCTGAACTGAAGGGACCCATTTCGTCCAAACTCGGTGATCTCTCCGAGTTGGAGGTGCTGAATTTGATGGACAACGAGCTCGAGGGCGCCTTCCCGGAGGAGCTATGCAATTGCAGGCGGCTAATGTTTGTAGACCTGCGGAAGAATTTATTGGATGGGTCCCTCCCTCCCGGTATACTGACCCTCTTGCCCAATTTGGTCGAGTTATCCCTCTCCGGAAACAAGCTTACGGGAAATCTCGACCGGCTGATGGAGGATCATTTAGCTCCGGATAGTGCAGCATGTTATCATATGAAGTTTCTGGATTTGTCGCACAATCAACTTACGGGCGTCCTGCCGAGGAGGTTGTGCGAGTGCACCGAGCTGATCGAAGTCCACCTTAGTTCCAACTACCTCAGCGGTGGCATCCCGGATGAGTACATGAAGCTTGTCAACCTTGAAATATTGGAGGTGCAGAACAATATTTTGGACAGACAGCTCCCTGAAGAGTTGAAGACCTGCACGAAGCTGCGGACTTTGAATGTGGCCGACAATTTTATTGAGGGGGAGATCCCTCCTTCCTTTGTAGAGCTTCGACAGCTCTGGAATTTTGATGTGGCTAGGAATCGTTTGTCTGGGCGTATCCCCCAAGGTAGGTGGCTTCGGGAAGCCCCTAAATTTCGAGGGAACGATGGCTTGTGCGGTTCGCCACTACCGCCTTGCAAAGAGGAAGTTGTCTTTCAGGAGTTCAAAGTATATGTTAACAGCCTTTTCCCCCGCGGAACGGATTTCGTCCAAAGCGGTGTCAGAAGTTTTTCTGATGACTCCTCTCAGCCAAGGACGATAGCTGGGGTGCGAAGGTCATTGAAAGTGACATCTAGTCGCCGCCGCAGCAAAGGCGTCCGTTGGGGCCTCGGAATTGCAGTGGGTCTAGTTACTGGGGCGATAGCAGCCGTCATTCTAGCATTGCTCACACGTTTTTTCTTGACATGTGGTTCCGACACTCAGGATATCAAGAAGCCTATCATCTTCAACAAGAAAATTACCCCTCACATGCTGGCTTTCCTTGACAATGAGGATGCCTTAGCTGACTGCCGTCTCCTTGGTGAAGGAGGAAATGGGAAGGTGTACCAAGTGTCTCTCCAGGATGATATTGTCGTTGCGATAAAGTACGTTCGCAACGTAACGGATGATGCTGTTGACAGTGAAGAACCCAACCGTGACGCTAAGCAGATTCGCGCGGAGCTCGAAACCTTGGGCTTCATCCGCCACCGCAACTTGGTGCAGTTGTTGGCTTACACCTTCAAGTCCGACGTGCACTTGTTGGTGTACGAATATATGCCAAAAGGGAGTCTGCAAGACGCCCTGCAGGAAATGGCTCGCGGGAACTTGACACTCTCATGGCCCGAACGCCACCGGATCCTATGCGGTGTCGCCAATGGGCTCGCATATCTCCATAATGAGTCCTTCGGCACCAGCTCCATCGTGCACCGGGACTTGAAACCTGCAAATATCTTGCTGGACGACGGATACGAAGCCAAGCTTGGTGACTTCGGCCTGGCTGCCATCGTTCCCCTCAAGGCCACGCATGCTACCACTGAAGTTCTTGCTGGCACTATCGGCTTCATTGCACCAGAATATCATCAAACATTGAGGTGAGTTAATATCCTGCGCTGCAAATTTTCAGTTCAATTACACTACATGACCACATTGTTTGACCCGGTACTTCCTGTCCATCCCCAGGTACTCTCAAAAGAGCGATGTGTACAGCTTCGGCGTTGTGATCGCTCAGCTGGTGACAGCCCGTAACCCAACCGACCACTTCGTCGTGGAAAATGGCGGTAGTATTGGACAATGGCTTCACGGGTGTCTGCATTCGAGCAACGGAATCGAAGCAATGGACCCTGCCTTGCGGGATTCAGGGTACGAGGCTGAGATTCTTCTAGCCATGAAAATTGCTGTTTTCTGCACAAACCTAGACCCCCAACAACGCCCAAAGAGCTCAGACGTGCTGAAAATGCTCAGACAGATCCGAAACCCTGACACTGTTTCCGTTGTGGACAACTTAAGTGCGGACAGTGTCGACGACACCGCGACATTTCGATCAGGTCGTCCGTCAAGGTTGTCGGAATCTGAAACAGTGTCCATGACCAGCAGTTACTGATCGCTCACATCAATGAATATTTGGATAGCCTGTGAAGTTTATCTATTAGGATGTCACATAAGACGTAACCTTGTGTAAGACACATTTTTCCTTGAGTTAGACGTAGCTAGGTGCGAAATTAGGTTTTAAGCTCTTTCCTTAAGTGTATGAAACGTCCTATAACTAGGCTTTCCTCTATACTTCTGCAGCAGAAGGTCACTTGTACTGTGTTGCAATCTCACTTTTTGTTCTTTTTTCATTGCGACATAGAAAATGGAATGTTAACCTATATGCTGACGGCAATAGGAAAGTTTGGGGGTATTTTTGCAGCCAGTCCATGTTGGAGTGGCATTATGCTGGGCATGCAGCTGCATGACCTGTTCAGTAACGCTGTTTCGAAATGATAGAAACGATTCTTTCCAACAACTGTTTTTGATTAATTACGATTGCGCTTTTAGTCAAATCAAGGCCCTAATCCCTGAATGGTTGCGCACAACAAACTACATACAATGAATTTATTCGATGTCTGAAGTGTGCAGAAGCATTCGGGCGTTAACCTCCGCTCCAAAAATGGCTCTTTGAGCTGACTGAACGACTGTTTTAATAATCAAATTTTAGAAAAAATACCTCATCTACAAGGCTATGTGTTTAGCAAGAGTCTACATGCTGCTAACATGTGTAGAGCTTCAACAAACGTTTTGGATACAAGATGTAACCTAAAACTCGTGATCATACAGTAGACCAACTACCCACATTTCAGGCCCTTATTATTTGCCTGTCCTTATGTCGTGTCGCAGCTGGAAAACTTGCAGACGCTTGCTAAGAGGTTTTACAATGCTCCCCAATTCCATTGGGTAGAACCATTGAAGAAGGCATGTACAGAGTGAAACTTTCGAAAGTAATCCAGGAGACAAAGGCTTCCGCACTACTCCCCTTCTTTCCATCCTGGAATATTAGCAGTGGCTTCATTCACCATTTTGACCAATGTGACCTGCACTCAGCGATTGCAAGTTCACATTCGGAATTTCGTATTTTTAATATTCGGTAGAAAAGAAACTGTGAAGAGGCTAAACATATGTTGCTGCCCACATTAAAAAAAACGTACGCAGCTAACTCAAGTTAAATTTACCACTGTCTCTGGTACACCTGGAGGAGGCAAGGTTAAGTTCTTGGGCGGAGCTCCTGTGGAGTAAGAACGTTTGTCAAATCGCCATTCTCCAATGGTGCCATACGTCAACTGACCCTGCGCATATATTAGCGTCGGTCACAACTTGATATAAGCATAAAAGAGAAGGCAACCTTGGGTATTAGAGGGTGCTGAGTGTCGAAGTGACAGTAATTCCAACCTTCATGCTGTAATCACATCCATACGTATAATGAATAATATAATTGTTTCCACGGTCGGTATCCCACGGTGGCTGCAAGAGACAAAAAAAAAAAGTAAGTATCTGCTGGCTCCTGTTACTGACGTATAAGTTGACAAGCGTGTCTTACCTTGCAGAAACAGGGAGCTGTTGACACAACCAGATAAATCCTGTCTCGGAAGTGAAGATCACAAGGCAAAAAAGGAGGACAACATATGAAAATGCATGCACCTGTAACATAAAATCTTTGACCAACGTATGTCTAATCCCATGCAAAGCTGCAGCTGTCGCATATCCATACCTACCATACAATAAGCATTCCCAACGTCAGTTAAATCACAGTACAAAGATGCTGAACAATGTATCAGACTAAATAAGTAATAAAACTAGTGCAAGCAAACAGGGTTAGAATTTCACGCACATTTCTAAAACCCAACCAAATGCTTTGTCAGTTTCTGGGTCATCCTTCATCTTGATGGACACGTCTGACCATGTTGGGGCTACCTTCTCTAATTGACTCTGCAATCGTAACCACAGTGTCAGCATTCACGTCGAATGGAGGACCATTCCTCGACATTCAAAAGTGACAGAAATAAAGATCTAAATTATTCAATAGACGACATAGAGTTTCCTTGACACAGAAATGTGGCACCTTCTTAATAATGACTGGAGAATTGCCGATGGGGTCGATGTTGGAAATCGGCCCTTTCTCTTTTGGAAAGAATTTTCTCAAAACTTTTTCATTTTTCGTAGGAACAATGTAGAAGAACTTGAAGGCAGCTGGAATATCCTCCGTAGCTAAGTTGGGAAGCGGCCGTATGAATATATGGTCCGGTTCTGCCATCAGGATGTAACTAACACCCGATCATGCCCCGATAAATTGTGAGGTTTTAAATCAGGAACATTACTAAACCTCGACTTGTTCAGACACAGTATAGAAACATTACAAAACCAGGTATAATTCCAGAACTCGCAAGATTCACAAGCAAATGGCCGCACTCACCGCAGCATACGAAGTCAAAAGGAACACTCAAAGGATAAAAAATAACCAAGCGAAAGTGACACAAACTCGTAACTGAGGCAGTAATCGGACGGCTAAACTGCAATCAATCCTCACTCTCTACGATACAGTCAATGCAGGCAGACATCTTTGAGCAGGATGCGTACTCTTCTGGGATGTCTGTCTTTCGCAACCACTGCACGAACGCCCATGGTCGATTCAGCACAATGTACCCCTGGAAACCAAACAAACAAACACTTTAGTCTCTTGATGATCCTACCAAGTCTACAAAAATATTCAGAAAGCTTTACCAGGGAAAATGATATCGCAGTCATCAAAGGTTTCACAGTTTTGATGGTTGAAAATAAAACACTTGAGCAAAATACACTTCACAAAGCATTACGGATCAACTCTCTCACGAGATCTTACCGACTACGACACCCTGAACTCCCAAACGATATTCATCTATGGCAATCAGTGCAGGCATTGTTTTCAACTCTTGAGCTGAAGATTCCGCCAATTGGCTCTCATCATAACAATGTCACCTACTTTGTAACCTAAGAACAGAGAAGACCAAAGTGGCGAATCATACCCGATCCTCGCCGTCCGGCAGAGGGTCTACAACAACTGTCGGAATTTCCTCCATGAAATTGTCAGGCTTTCCGGAATGCAAGACGCGAGTGAAGCCGCCCATCTCTGATCCGGGCGCATCTTTGAACTTCTTGTACCAGTAGTACATGATCTGGCACTGCCAACGATTGTAGGGGAAGTCATTGGCCGTCACCGCAACGTGAAACAAACGCGTGGGGCTACTCCGTTTTGTTTCCTCCGACGGCTTGATTAGTGATTCGAATGAGAACTTGTTGTCATCTTCACCAGCCCCGGGACCTACGTGACCACTCCGGTTATGATAGCTGTTAATCATAGTGATCGTATTGTACGTCGCCACCATTGCCGCCAAGGCCAGAAACACCAGCACTGGAAATTTAATCCGCGTCATCTCTTGTCGAATTTCGCCGCTAATTGAAGACTTCGTTAGCAGTGCCACAAGCCCTACTTGCTTCCAAAGATCTCCACCATCATCATTGCCGTCCTCACTCCTTCACTTCCCCAAACTTCCATATCCAAGCTCCACTCAATCCACTCTCCCCATCTCAAAACCCAACTAAAGCCCTAGCTCTACACCCACCTCACCTCACAACCCTGTCCAGTACAAAATTCTCCATCCCCTCACTCCAAATTGCACCTTCTCGACCCTAGCGTCAGCAACCAATCAAGCAACCCTCCTCACCCGCTACCGCCAGTCCAGCACCTGACACTCCAGAGCCGCTAAACTTACACCGCATTCACTCTGCAACCCGCATTCCCGCCACAACATGATAGGCGCCCGTGGCCTTAGCTTGCAAAGGACACAAGCTGCAACACTCCTGCACTGTCTTTCCTCAGAGACATATGTGGCGGCGAGTTCAGTGCCAGTCCGACGTACTGTGCACAACTGATCTATTCAAGCTGCTGAGGTCGATGGAATTCTCGGCGCTGGGGAAAAGCGTCTGGACAAGCCAAAGCGTTCGCGTTGGGCTCCAGATCTTTGCTACCTGCTCCGAAATGAGCAGCACGGCAGCAGACCACGAGAAGGAAGATCTGTTCAGAGAAAGACGGAATAATGTAGTTCCTGACTCTGGTTTGACTGGCGCAATGGAGCCTTGGCCAGGGTAGTTTTCCTGGGGCCACCAGGTTGCCTCGCCGGTGGTCAGTACAATAAATCCGCTCAGACAGATCTTTCCGTGAACTGATGCGTCAAAACAGGGATGGTAATCAAATGTGGTGCACTGCTTGGATTCAGTTCGTCAAAATCATGATAGTTTTCAGCACTGCAAGTCTCTGTTCTAAAACTGCGTTAATATCACGGTGACAATGTTACAACGGCCAGTGTCTCCGACCCATCGCAATGTTACCTTGTAGAAATGTGAGATATCTTTTCTTTTATTACTGTTGATAACAATACAGCTTTTTGTGTAATTGTTTGGTTAACTAATTCCGTGTCGACCACATTTGAAGCATCATCTCCGAACGTTTTGAAGGGATTGGAGAGCCGATTGTTGAAGCTCTTCAGAAACTTCGAAGGTGGGATGTCTAAGACTCAATGATGTCTTGGATTAGAAACTTTCTTGTCGTTAAAACTTACTGAAAGCTACACTTCGACGGTCCATGGTACGTCCTTTTCTACAGTTTGAAGCTGGGTACTACCACTTCCACTTGTAAAGCACCAACACCCACTTGCCAACCTCAAGTGACAAAAGACTTCAACTTCAACGTTAACATTGTTTGCTCCAGGCCAGACGAGAGAAAAGAGGTTCTGGATAGGGACTGCCGGAGCTCTCTCTCACCTCTCAAGCTGCTTCACAACCTCCTCATCACAACCACCATCTCATAACTCGCTACCTTGATTCCAACCAGCAATACGTGTAAGATCCTCCACCCAGACACACTGCGTCTCATCATTCAAATGAGGAACCACAAAATTGCCCCAATCACTAACGGCGCTACCATTATTTTGTGGAATCTCTCTAGTCTGTTTTCGGATGTTCATTTCTTCGCTATCAACGACAGTGCTACGAGATCGAAATATGCAAGGAATAAAGAATACGTGGACTGTTTTTGTTGGGGTTGAAGTCTCTGTCATCCAATGAAAGAAACAAAAAACAACAAAAAGAAAATAAGATCAGTCAAAGGAGGAAAGTGTAGCAGATTGATTGTGAACAATTCTCATAATGATGCAAAGTTTGAGAATACTGGGACAACAAAGTTGGGGTCGTGTGGGCCATAAATGTCCATTGGCAACCGGAAACCCATTGGTGAAATGAGTTTGCCAATCCAGGTAAACTACATGGATGGATACATCACCCGGCTTGAATGTGGGTAGAATTCTCCATGATCTACGCCAAAAAGGATCATGCTAGTGTTTTCGTTTATAGCAAAAAACTTGCCAAATCGGCTGGAATTTAATGATTTGAAACGCACTAGATTATAGGATGAACCCAGTCTCTTCTTGGCAATATTCTAATAAATTTCCTTCATCAAGTGTGATGCAGTGTGAGCATTACTGTACTGTTTCGTGTTTCAGAAGCAATACCTTGACACATGCAGGTTGGGTCACACACACTCGAAAATATAGCACATCGCATATCTACTACATCGTTGTTTCACCAGCATTTATACCACTCATGAATTTGTCCTGCAATTGCACTCCAACATTGGAGAGATCTTTTCATGGAGTACTTAAGCCAAGCAAAGCCAAGCCAAGCCCCTTGCTAAACCAACTCCTTGGAATGAAGTTTACAAGCCTTCACAGGACTCCCAACTTCCAGCCATATATTCATCCTTGCTTTCCATCACGGCCACTACTAATATTTACTTACGTGAGAAGATGTTGTGGGGAGCCAATGGTAAAGGCAATACCACTATGTAAGATTAACGCTTGAGAACACCCCCATGTTGCAAATCACATGAAATCGTCAAAGTTCCATTGCTTTGGTTTTCTTTATTTATTTATTTTACAGCTGCTTATTTTTGCATTTGGTTTAAAAACATTGAAAGTGTTAAAAAAAATAATTATGCAGCTAAATTGGAATGAGGCTATCAAGAGCAAGCGTTCCAGCTGATGAAGTTCTTTCCTTTATTGCCACTCATGAAATGCAGCGTAAACGGCTTGCAAAGGTCAAAAGTTTCGACACTTGGGATACTTGGGAATTCATTTGAGCTTCAGAGCTATGGACAGCTTCCTATAATCGACTTACATTCGTTCATAACAATTTCTCTATATGGTACATAAAAGTACAGCTATAGACGAGGGATGTTTTTCCAACCCCTGAAACAGTAAGAGTCGTACGGGCACGAATCACCCAGTGAACCCAAACAACTTTGAGTTTTATACCATAGCTACAGCCAATTGTGTGTCCACCATCACACAAACCACACTCACAGACTAACAGTGAAAATCGAGGTTTTCAATAAATGATAGTCCATTGACCGGATGAAACGCGGAATTCTGTAAAACAAAATTTGTGTAAATTTCCTGATTAGGATAAGAGAATAAACACACACTAACATGGAGAGAATCGTGTGAGAAAAACATATGAGGTATTGTTTGCAAATCCAATCCAAATCAAATTCTTCTCGACCTCTTCTTGTGGCCAGCAAATCCGAAAGTCTAACTAACCCCATAACGTGATGCAACACAAAGCATCTACATTTTTATTTTTTACTTCTTTCGGGGGTTAGTTTCTTCTTAGCATTAAAATTCCATGAAAAGTGACTCTACTATCACGACTCGCTTGGAACTGAAGTAGCAGGACAATTTCATAAGAACACTTGGACGTGCTAATGTCATGCACAGAAAATCATTTCCATAGTTGTACCATGCCATATTGAGCCCACCTGATGATTAAGTAGCCCGTCACAACTCCCATTCAATGACGAGTAGCTCCCACCTTCATCCTTTCGCAACGGTGAATATCGACGAGTATCACTTCTAGGGAAGAAAAAAGTCATCAGGAATTATAAGAAAACCTACTACGTTTACCGAGGACAAAGGAAGAATGCGCAAATAACACAATCAGCAACCCTCATCTATGAAATATACAATCTGCTTTAAAGGTAAACCTACTGTATAATTCCTTGCTTTGCCCACATGCCAGTTTTTTTTAGTTAAATAAGCAAGTAATTACTGCTACACATGCTAGACGTAAAAATAATGACACTTGCCGCAAGAGCTGCCAAATTCAAATCACCGACAAAAATGAGCCATCCCATTCGCGAGAAATGCGACTGAATGAATCAAATTAGCACTGTCCCAAAGTAAACCAGACAAAGGAGAGTGCATCATAAAATAGTGGATCTACACTTCCATCCCTACGGAGATGCTGAATGAATGCATCGCTGCTACGTCATGATTAAACAAGAGCCTTCAGCAGGCATTGAGAGTATAGGGGATGTATCAAAGGTCTTCAGCAGGCTTTGAGAACAGGAGCACATTACTTAAGACGCCTAGTATTGTCTTGTGTGATCAGAAATGTACTGAAGACTACTTTAATATTGTTGGGAGAGGAATCGTGACGTGTCAAACCCTAGCTACAAAAGTTTCATCTCATCTGTTGCTTCCTGAGAAGCTCATCTTACAGCACTTGAAACAGTATAACTAATGGGGAGAAGCCTTCTTTGCAGCACGATCCGACTTAATCGTGAAAACTAACGTATCTCCTTCTGGACCAAGACCTTTCCGTCCGACCAACTTCACCCCAAAATTGAGACAAAGGTGCTGTAGCCTTTCATTATCATTATCCAATCTACTCAAATCCAAAGCCTGTTGACGAGTTACGGTAGTATACAAAAACAATTGCTCTGGAACAAAGATTTCAGTTGTGCCATCTACAGATGCATTGGCACTCTTGTCAGGAGAGATCATATGCACTCGCAAAATCGCCAGCGAAGACGGGTCCAATACCTGCTGATTAAAAATGACGGAAAAATTTCCAAACACGAGATCGGGTTCTTTGAAAAGATCTACCAGAATTGTTGAATATGAATGTAAGTCTCTTGATTGAATTCTTTCTGGTTTAGATGGTTCCAATCTGGCTAACGCAGCTCTTGCCATATTAGCTGCTTCACGATAGCCACTTAAAAGTGCACCATGCATGGTTGCAGGATACTTGCGAATCGTTGCCTCGCCTGCGAAAAAGAGCCTATGATTTACTGACTCTGCCATTATGTCGTAGTCTTGGCCTGATGCTCCCACTGCCACGTTCGAGTATGAACCAAAACAAAGATGATCGCTTCCCCATCGTGTGCATACAGTCTGCACGGGGTTCGGCACTTTTATCCCCTTTGGTTCGAAAATACCTGAAATATAGATTCCAAGTCTTTTAAAAGTAATACATGAGTTGATGAGCAAGCTGAGATTAAAACTATGTAAAGAAGACTTGGCTGATTGACCCTAGTAAATAGCCCCAATATACTAATTCGATAATAGTGCAAAGTACCCCATGGATTGCAAAACCGCGGATTCTGAAATCTCTTCGTACCTAGAGCGTACAAAGTTCAGCAAATTGACGTACCTCTCAGGATGGTCATAACACGCGTTACAGCTTCAACTGGGGTAGTGGACTCGAACGCAATGGCGGCTTCTCCTGCCACTAGAGCCACCAACAGCGGCCCCCCAGCCACTGCCGCGTAGCTGTAAAACATGAAGTATTCGCCGCGTTTATGTGGATCTTCCTCAAGGTGCCCAAATGTATCCAGATGACCATCCCAAAACACTTTTGGGAAAAGCATCACCACCTTGTTTAGAAGGCCAAAGCCCAACCTCTGAATGGCATCTACCTTGTATTGAGGAAGTGGGGGCTCAAAACTGATCAGGTTCCTTTTCAAAACACCCAATGGCACAGTACACAGAACCATTTCACCCTCAAAAGTTTCATCTGCAGTTTCAACTTTCACCCCACCATCTCTATAACGTATTCTCTTCACAGTTTTACCGTATAGGATTGGCACATTTTCGCACAGAACTTCTATCAACTGCACATTCCCTCCAGGTAGAAAGCAGTGGTCCCCTCCCATTTCATAAGGATCATCCTGATCCCAATCAGAAAGCGAGAGGTTGGTGAGTAACTGTGCATTGGCATACTCAAGATTTGCAAAGTGCCAATCAAAAAGTTGTCTCTCAGCAGGAATAGTACCCATTCCACAGTTGTGGCGTAAAAACTCCATGATATTGCCTAGCGAAATATATGAAGACTTCGACTCATTCTCCTCTCGCCATTTGCTGCATGTGTCCAACAACTGATTGAATTGTGCTTCCACCTTCTTATCAACTTCATCAACAGCAGGTTGACCGTTGGGTTGATAAATTGGACACAAATCCTTTATCTTATGCATTGCCCAGTTCATTTGACGAGCAAAAACACCTAAGGGGTTCCCATGCATCCCAGTGACAACACTACCCCCTAAATCAGCTGCAGCATGTATGCTATCCACCTCCATCCTCTTTGTATATACTCTACCTCCAGGCCGCTGCCTACCTTCCAGCACAATCACCTGGTGCCCTAAAGCCATCAAATGTCTGGCAGCACCGAGGCCTGCAAGTCCAGCTCCAACGATAATCACCTTAGCTTTGTTTCTTTCTGCTGGAAACCTTGCTTTGATGGTAGGAGCAACTCCAAAGTTAATGTAACCATGGAACAATAGAAATTTATAAGCCGAGGCAACTAATTTACTGTGCGTACTTCGTATATTTTCCATCACAGTCTCCTGCTCCAGCCATACATTTACATTCTCCCTCCAAGCAGCCAAAATGTGATTGCGTACGACAATATAATTTTCCTGCTCTTTTCCACCCACTACGCTGACTACATTTGCAGCAATTTCCTCCTCCGTAAGTGAGTCCCGTGGGAAACCTAGAGCAGCAGCAACCATAGCTTCCGTTTCGATTCCTCTAATTACGCTGTTATGTTTTCTTTTGGCACCTTTCCTTGAAGATGATCCCTCGATTTGCTCTTCCATTACTTTGTCCATGGCGGATTCATCATACGTCGACACTTTAGAGTGCTGCCTAGAGGGTCTCTTGTTCCTCCTACCTGCTTCCTGCTCTTCCAACTCGAAGTTCGCTGTCGCTTTCTGTCGACGCTTCCGCTTCTGCTTCTCTGGTACCTCAACATCGACCGTTTTGGTTTGCTGCACGATGACACGTACAGATTTTTGCCCAACATCATGCAACAGAGCCGATTCAGGCAATTCTGTCTCTTTAGTAATTTCACTCACGGTGTCACTAGCCGCAACTTGTCCAACATCAGGTGCCTCCGCTGCCTCCACACACTTAGGCTCTTGGAGGGCAATCTCGATGTGTTTCGTGCTTACACTGACAACAACAGTAGCTAGTCCAACTTCAGTTTTCTCACTCGCTACCACCGACTCCGGCTCCGGAGTGACTACATGCTCCTCTTCATTATCCATGGTCTTGGATTTCAGATCCTCCTTTCCGCTCCATTCGTAAGTGGATTCTGGGCCATTCTGGGCACAAAAGCCTGGTACCATATCTTTCTTGTACAACGCAGGTGACGCATCGATTTCAACATGATGATCCTCATTTGTGAGCCTTGATTTTGAGAGAACCAAAACGTTGGCGAGCTCAGCGTCAGGCTTCTGGGTTTGGTCTCCGGGTGCACCCTCCTCGGATTCAGGACCCAAATCTTCAGATGCCATAGTTAACCTTGATATTTACTGGTGTAATCACGAAAATGGACATTGTAAGAGCGAACTACCAACTCTCACAGATCAGGCTGCTACAATCCATTTGAATAGTAGAAAGGCGTCTGGCGTGGAATACATTCTCCGACTACCACGCCGTCCAGCAATCCCGAAGAGCCATTCCTAATGTAGTGAACATCGATTAGCACCGTCACGGATTCAGTATCATGAAATTTTTGATGACCATTGACTTCTAGCCTGTGTCGTAATCTCAAAAACATTTGCTACAACATCACCTGCTGACATACCACGAGTGCGGATTACTTAGCCATTAATAGAAAAGATCAACCCTTTCTATGGAATCAAGGACCTACGAGCTACTCAAATGACAACAACTTCAACCTAATTTGTACAGAGCAATCAACGGCCTGAAACATGAACATAAATATTTCCAGTGGACATTCCAAACACGAAAAGCTTGATCCAACTAGAGCATAAACATGGAACGAGGCAAAGCTCAAGTTATAAAAATTGTATCAAGACCTTTCCGCTGACTACAAACTCGACAACGCCTACACACTTTTTTCAAAACTAGACTTTTATCATTAAAGAACCTGACATGTCTTCTCGCCCGCTTGGCTAACAGCAAGAACATAAGGCATTCTTCTAACCTTCTGTACATTGCCATGGTTTATTTCCAAGCTAAAGACTAGAATCATAATTCGTAATGCAGGAGTATCAAAGATCGAAGTATCGAGTTCCACTAAACATTTTATGTTCCAGTTCAAAGAGAATATGAAATGCTGATTAACATAATACGGTATGCGTGAATAACGCACACATTGACTTTCTAATAAGAAATCACAAACGTCCAAATCATTCGGAGGACTTCTTCGATCAAGAAGGTTCGTGATGAGCGAGAGCAAAAGAATGGAAAATTAGTATTGCGTTCACATGTTTTCCAAGCATTATGTAAAGGCTGCTGCGAGCTTCACTACACTGCATTCGAAATTCATGAAAAATGTTTGGTGTCCGTAAAAGGTGCCAAACCGAAGCGTCAAAGCGCTCAAGAAAAAAAGATCCTTCCCAACTTCACCTTTTCATGAAAACAAACCCCAATCCTTGCAGTAGCTCAACAGTCCCATTCCATTCGACGCATTATCTGTGTTACAACCCCTAAACAATCCACAAAATACACGCCAAAACTCATAGCATGTGCGTGATTATTTTTGACAATACTTATTAAAAAAATAAAACAGTACATTATGTGCACATTCGCATACATGTCGACAAACATCCAGAATCAAAGATTTCCTCAACCCTAGAAGTATCATAGAAATAAATTATGAAATAACCGTAGATGAATACAGCGTCCATGAATTAAAATAATTTCAAATAAAGAAATCACGGCACCTGAAAATAAGTCCTTAAAAACAGACGACGCATCCACCGCAGAAGCCTGCACTCCAGCGAATCGAGATAGCTCCCCAAGCAAGACCCTATACTCGATAAAAATTGATACACTGAGAAAGCTCTGCCAGTGTAGGGCGTCGTGAGTGAAATGGAATCGGGAAGTGTGACACAGAAAAGGCAATAAACCGAAGAGAAACAGAAAAACACAGGCAGGCCGGCTTAGTTTTGCTATTTGTTTGAGAGCGAGGAATACAAGGCCGAGGAGACATGAGCAGGTGAACTTCAGCCTCTCTCTGCCCCACCGCGAGAGCCAAGGCATGGCGGGAGGAAGAAACGCTAGCGGAGAGGATGACAGTTTCTACTCGGAATCTGTCTCCCCGAGTTCCCTGAAAAAACCGTCGCGCCATTCGCTCTGCCTTCTCCCAAAATTAATATCGTCGTTATGTTTATTATTCCCATGGATCTACTCACACATCGTGGGAACAACAATCGGAACACCACGGGAACATGCTTCTGATTTTCCACAAAACCTCCTCGCCTATTATTTGGCAACTAAGATTACAAGTTTTTAAGAGTATACATCAAAAATTTCCAGTAGATGCAATTTCTGTGGAACTCTTTGCGGTTAAAGGATAACCTGCATCTTTAAGTAATCAAAGTTTTAATTTGAAAAGATAATATTTGTGATTATCATGGAATTTTGATTACTCAAAGATGCAGATTATCCTCTAGCCGCATCACAATGCAGTTCTTTCCATTTACTTCGTTAATTTTTTCAGATTTTATTTCCAGAATCTGTGTATTTTTAACAATAAAAATAAATAAATAAATGGAGTGGAAGTGATTTGTTATCACATTGTATGTTGACAGGACGATAGTAGAGGGTTTTTTCCTAATTCTATATCCTCAAAAACAAAACACACACACACACATATATATATATATATATATATACATATATACATACATGTGTATCTATTTTATTTTATTTTATTTTATGTATCTATTTTATATGCAACAATTTCACAAGTTCCAATTCTATCTTCTATTCCACAAATATGTTTTATATGACTTCTTTCAACTTCTACCAAAAATAAATAAAACAAACAAAGAATTATTGCTACCTATGAGTGGACATTTTTGTAACTCAAATCCTAACTCATAAGGAACTAAAATTTAAATCAAAATAAAGGTATCTAAATTACTACTTTAATGTATAAGATGTATGAAAGATAGATTGAATTATCAGCAAATATTTTTTGGTGTCTAATCATCAAATAATGTTACATTTACTATTTTATTCTTTTAATAATTCAGAGATTTTAATTATTAAGATACAAATGTCATGTAGTTTAAAGAAAGATTTATTCAATTCATGAATGCAACAAAATAAAATAATTATTCAATTGATTTTTTTTTTTATGTTTATCAATAAAATTCGAAAATTAAAATTTGATGTTCATTCTTATAAAATGCCAAAAAAATGAATTAGGATTTGATTTACATATAACATGTAAATACCTATAAATTAATAAAAAATAAAATCTATTCAAACTAACTTGAAGCAAATCTTTTTAACACATGGTTTTTTAAACATGATGTTTTTTATTACAATATCATTTAATAAACCTGATGGTAGTGCGGAGAAAATAAAAATTTGGATATTTGTTGAGCATTTTTAATGACATGAATATTTAATATATTATTTTTCAAAAGCTTGCAAAATTTTGTATATATATATATATGTGTGTGTGTGTGTGTGTGTGTGTGTGTGTGTGTATGTGTGTGTGTGTTCAAAGTTTAAAATATACTATAAACCAATATCATAAGAGTTAAATAGTTGTATTTCATTTTATTTTTATACACGCTACTTCTAATGGTCATAAATGGACTGTAATGAGCTAAAGATAAGATAATTGTATAAATAATTAGAACCACTAAGGTTTTGAGAATTAGAATATGGTTAGTGGACTAGATAGGATCCATCGTAAAACATTCAAGAAAGAATTTAGGGTGGTTATTTAGGTAGAGACTACTATAAAACCTTCTAAAAAAGGATTAAAGTAGTTATCTAGATAGGATCCACCACCTAGGAATATTCTAAAAATTCCAAGGTGGTAGGATAAGATATAAATATGACTAACCAAGGCCTTTTAGAACATCTGGTCAAGTATGGCTTTGGATCCTTTCTCTTAGTAAAATTTGGTTTTGCATCTTTTTCTTCAATTCAGTTTTGTTTTTCATATGCTATTTTGTTTAATTCCATTCAGTTTTATTTTGGTCTATTTTGTTTTATTTTGTGATAAAGCTTTGTATTACTATGGATTGGAAGGATTTTGGATTTTTTAAATAGTCTAGTCATATTTCATTAGTATCAGAGCAAGTGTTAGATTGTTTACTTTTGGTAGCGTGTCAATAGTCATCATCTAATCCAATGTCAGTTGTTGTGGTTACACTAAGTACTGTATTGGGGCTACTACAAGCTACTCTTAAAAAGTCTAGTAGAAGATGAAAAGACATTATAATAGAGGAGTCTAGTGGAGAAATTACAATATAAAAGATATGGCAGAGCAATTCCAAATAGAGGCTCAAATACGAAACCTCTTAGGCCAAATAGCTAATTTGCAAGGAAAAATAGAAACCTCAAGGACAAGACAGTCAATATTTGCAAGGTTGAAATAAAACAAGCCTAATACATACTTTGGGACTTCAAGACAAGAAGATGTATATCAATGGCTCTTTAATATGCAACAATACTTCCAACTATCAAAGTGTCACGGACCAAAAATACAAACAAGAAATCTAAACAAGAAGTTCAAGAAGAAATGACAAGAACTAGATTATCAGATGAGTACAAGAGCAACGCCAAGAGAATTGAGCTAGAGCTTCAAGAGATGTATTGTCAAGACTGAAGAACTCTTCAGCCTCGACTCCTATATATACTACTGGCCTATGGTTCTAAGGAAGCGCATCAAGAAGCTTCCCAAGAACTATGAAGCTTCTCAAGCAACTACCCAAGAGCTAGGAAGCTTCTCAAATAACTTCCTAGAATCTACTAAAATATTCTAAGAATCTTCTAAAGCCTTCTAAGGGAATCTTTAAGGAATCTTCAGAGAATCTTTAGAGAATCTTTGAAGAATATTCTAAGAGAATATTCAAGGAATCTTCTGAAAGTTTCTAGAGACTTTTTTCTAGAAGGTTCTAGAAACTTGTCTCTAGAAAGGTCTAAGGACTATGTCCCTAACATCACCTCCTACTTTAGCTTCGAGGTCTCCGAGAAGCAATATTATCGTCAGTCAATACCAACGCAAGAAAATGAAGATCTGTCGCATAACCTCTGCTATGAACTCCAATTGTTGTTCACGACGCAAGTGATTCAATGGTCCTTGAAGCCAATGGTAGTGGCCCACGCCTTCAACTTCTGACCAAGCATGAACCTCCGTGTCTTCATTGTGAAATTGTCTTGCAAACACTCCTTCTGGCTGACCATTGTAGGCAGGCTCGACCTCAAATACAATCACCAGCGATCTGTTGCTTAGAATCCTTCGACGTCGTCGTGGTGCAAGCGGTTCTTCATCTCGCGATCGTCTTCGTGAGCTAGTTGCTTGAGATGACATGACAAGTGTAGTATCTTGGCTATCCATATTCAAAGGCTAAAACAATAAGAACAAACTTGGGCTACTAACAAAGTTCTACGCTATCTTGGAGAGAATGACTATATCAACTATGGATTTTGGTGGTGCTCTCTCCTCTTTTCTGTTTTTTAGATGAGCAAGCTTCAGTAAGAAGCTATCGTCGAACCGGCTTGGATTTCTCACGATATCGTCGATGAAACTCCTGTACCTTTTACGGCGCATTCGCGAGATTTTCGGTCGGCTCCCATGTTTGTTCATTAACATCGTAACCGCTCCAATGCACAAAGTATTCTAATTTACCCCGTCTTTGCTGTGAATCCAGGACCTTTTTCACATCGTATTCTTCGTGGTTCTCTATTTCTATGCTAGGTGGTGGACATTGTACTCTTCCAGGAAAAGACGATTCTCGATAAGGCTCCAACAAAGAAACATGAAAGACAGGATGTACCTTCATAGTAGCTGGTAACTCCAGACGATACACTACAAGATTGATCTGCTTCTAGATATCAAATGGTCCCAATCTCCGATAGTCCAATTTGTCACATGGCCGCTTGGTCTTAATATTTCGTCGAAGCAGCCAAACTTTGTCTCCAATCGTGAATTTAGGTGCCTCATTTTGAAATTTGTCCGCGGATGCCTTGTAAGATTCTTGGGCAGTTTGCAATTGAAGCTTCAATGTAGTTTGAAGCTGCGAAAGCTCCTTCACCAATCCTTCAGCTGCCGGATTGTTAATCGTTGACGAACTCCATAAGTCAAGCTTTGGATGGTGTCCATAATTGGAAAAGAATGGCGTTTGTTGAGTTGACGCATGAAGGGTGTTGTTATATGCAAACTCGACTAGCGGTAGATATGCGACCCAATCATCTTGTTGATAGTTGATGGTGCAACATAAATATTGCTCTAAAACTTGATTCACCCGTTCTGTTTGGCCGTCCGTTTGAGGATGAAATGGCGAAGAAAGCTTGATATCCACCTTCAATATTTCAAAAAGAGATTTCCAAAACTTTGACACAAACTGGGTTCCTCGATCCGATACGATATC